ACGAAAAAAGAAAACCCGGGTTAGCCGAATCTCGAAAAAATCATTCGGCTAATGGACTCTCGAAAAATAAGTCCACTTTGCATAAGCCTAACGATTCCGAGTCCCAAAGATGACCCGAACTGGCTAATGCAAAATAGTCGTATACTTCCATGCCCTGAAGATGGCTTGGGAAGGCTGATGCCCTTCATGGCTAAATCCTGAAGTTGATTTAGCGGGCCTACAATAAAACCGACCTCATTAAATTAGTCGGGCCAACACATTTTCTTTTGCCAAATCCTGAAGTTGATTTGGTACGACCAATATCCTGGCATGGCACAACACCTACCAGCAAAAAAAATCAGACTCGACGAAACATCGAGGTAAAATCATTTATCGTGCATTAATTATTTACCGCGCATGCTCATTACATATTCACGCATTCATACATACATTCATCATATACGTGCGTCATACATACATCTTAACATAAAAACTTCTTTTCTAAACCCTGAAGTTGGTTTGGCGAGGCTAAAGCCCTTTCTTTTCCAAACCCTGAAGTTGGTTTGGCAAGGCCTAATGCCCTACAAATTACATCAAATATCAGGAACACACTACCTGACCAATAAATAAAAGAATACAATACACCAATCGCTTTTATATGTTTGGGCCTACACTGGTTAGGCAAAGTCAATAAGACCTCTCCCGGCTGGCGAAAATACAAAAGAAAAAAATCTTCACACCGAGTTCTTCAGCTCGGTAGGGTAACACCGTTGCTTACACCAAATTCTTCAGGTTGGTACGGCTGATACCCGTTCCCATATTCTTTAGAAATCCACGTTGGTGAGGCGCACTGTAGGACCTTACCGGCTGGAACGATCATATTTCTTAAAATATTGAAAGACTGAAGACCGGACACCAAATTATCCAACCACGTCCAAATTACAAAGAAAAATAACCACAAATCGCGTTGTCCTAATACAACGACGAAATCGCGAATGCGATAACAATATCATGGGGCCCGAGTGCTCACACATATTCATGTTATTGTCACCATTATAGAAGCAAATTCACCAAACACTTCACGTTATACGCATGAAATATGAAAATTGGGTACCGAATTACCCAACCAGGACAACAAGGCTTCCATTTATATAGCAATCTCGAAAAATTGACTATCCACGCAGTCGACTTCATTCGTCAGAACAAAAAACATGACTATTCAATAAAACAGCTACGGGTCCCAAAGTACCCGGACGACATCCATACATCACAGCATTCAGACATATTATAAGCAAGAGTCAGCCAAAATTGACTGTACATGCGACTTCAGAACAGTTCTATTCAGAACATGTCCTAAAGTCGGGGGCCTACTGTTGTTACCCAATTTTTGCCTCGCCTATTAAAATGTCGCATGTGGATATGTATTAAATAAATATAAATAGCAGGTTCTTCTGTCTGATATTAACCGAGTTCTTATAAGACAAGACTGTCCGCTTTAAGAAACCGTCAGCCCGACCCAGATATCGCAAAAAAGTTGTCTTGACAGACAAAATAATTGCTGGATATCACAAAAAAGTTATCTCGATAGACAAAATAATTGCTGGTAAGTGATAAGACAAATGCCAGTCAAAGCGCCAGTGAAAGCCATTATTTATTATTGGGTCATGCGCGATCATATTTATTATTGGGCCATGCGCGGTCATATTTTGATTAATTACATGCCTATAATGAAAGTCCATTAGATATACAGGCACATATTAGCCCAAATATAAAGGCATATAAGTATGAGCTAGAAGATAAACTAAGAGAGATCTTTTCTTTCTCTTTATCAGTAAGAAGAGGCACCGCCTCTAAGGATTTCTTTTCTGAATATACAACTTCTATTTTTTTCTTCAATTTCTTCAATCTATCAATTTCACAATAAAATACATATAAATTCGACGAGATATACAATTATTCAAATACCCTATATTGTTACAATTTCGCATAACAACAGTTTGACGCTAGAAGTAGGCCCCATAATTTTTTCGGGCAAATCTTCGCCGCATACACGTCCACATCTCTACCGGAAAAAGACCGACTCTCCAAGCTCAGTAATTTCA